AAGTTATTTTTCGTCACGCCACAAATAAGCCGACTGTAGTGTCAAGGTCACTGGCGGTTTACTTTAAAAACTACTTATTTAGTTATGTTCGCAATGACTGCTTAATGTTTTATTTTATAACTGCATTTTTTATAACCTACTTGAAGGATTTCGCCCGCGCGAAACGAGTTTTTCTTTACATACCTACACTTGTTAATTAAAAATATGAAAAATGCAATTTTTAAAATATAAAAAATGCTATTTTCAGTCTCTTTGTCAGTTTGTTAGTTTGTCCTTTTACATTATAAAATATATTATAAAGAAATTGTTATATATATACATATATATTTTTGTTATACAACTTAGAATGGCAAACAAGCTGACAGTCCACCTGATGGAAAGTGGTAACCGTCGCCTATCGTATATCGTAGACATGAGCAGTACCATGGACATAACAGAGTACACTGTTTCGCTCATGATATCTCTCACGCGTTGCCATTCCTGAGGACTCAGGTGTTATTCCTCTGTACCCTGTAAATTCACTGCCATATTCCACCCTTCAAACCGAAACACAGCCATGTAGAGATGGGCAATCCACCTGGGTGGGTTTAAAGTCTGGTGGGTAAAAACCGGGTGTTTTGGGTTTATTGGGTTTAAACCCCATAAACACCCAAATTTTTGGGTGTTTATGATTTTGTACTTCATCATCGTCATCTCAGCCGCAAGACGTCCACTATACTGGACATAGACAATATTATTATGCAGCCTACAGAATAAAAAACTTTTAATTTGATTTTGAGTTTATTAAGAAAGAGATGAAAGTAAAATGTAAAACTACAGTCAATCACTGTCAGATTCAGAGTTATTACAAGCGATGAATTGTATAGGTTCGATAGGCTCTATTTCGTCTAAACTGTTATGTTCATTTACTTGCTCAATGAAAGCTTCTAAGGTATTTTCTTCATTAAACTGAATGTCCTCGCATTCAGCTTTATGTTTAAGATTCCAGTTATAACAAATGAATGAAATTTTTTCAGTTCTTTCAGTTGTAAGTCGATTTCTTTTGTTATTATGTATGTAGCCTTGGATACTAAAGGAACGCTCAGTGGCTGCCGAAGTACAGGGAGCTGATAGAATACGAATCGCTACTTTGCTTAACTCAGTGGAACCACAAATACCTTTCCACCATATTAGGGGCTCAATGCTATCTAATGAGCTCCATACAAATCCTCTGGCCCAAAAGTTTTCTTTAGCTTTATAACACGCCAAATCTGCCATTACATTTGACAAACTTAAGTGTTGGCTTAAATTGTAGATAAACTCCATACCCTTAAGTTCTTCCTCTTGAGTAAGTTCGACTCCTAGAGTCCTGGGGTCTAGAATATATGCTGCAAAATGTATTGGCCTCATTGCCATATTGCATCTTGAAGATACTGATGTTAGAATCTGCTGTTTGCTTTCTTCGCTCAATGTCGAAATCTCATTTAATGCAAAACGTATCTTAGCTTGTACATCTCTAAATGTAATGTATGTGCGATGCAAACGATTCTGGTCGCTCTCTAAGTAAAATATGCTTTCAGTGACTGGTTCCAAAATACTTATACATTCCCCTGTCTTCGTCCAGAAATCATCACTTAGAATTAAATCTTTAATATCTCTTGAAATTACCACATCTTCTCTAACTGTTAATATTTGCAAAGCTATCTTATTTGCTTTCAAACTTTTTAACGAAGTAACATGACTTCCCCATCTTGTAGCACAAGGCAATTTTAGTGTTTGTGTAGAATCTTCACCCTGCCTTGATTTTATCAACAAGGAACTTAATCGTTGACTCCTTTTAACAGTTTTTATTATATTTATGGCTTGCATAATAAACACAGTTACTTCTTGTATCTTTACAATATCTTGGCACAACAAGTTAAGGATATGTGCACAGCAACCGAGAGGAACAACATGTGGATATTTGAGTTTTGTTAATTCGAATGCCTTTTGTATATTTCTAGCGTTATCGCCAATAAGTACAAGAAACTTATTTGCTCCATACACTTTCATTACTTTTTCAACTTCTTGGCTAAGGTATTCACTAGTGTGAGGATTACTTTCTGTATTCAAACTTTTAACGTATGCAGGTTGAGGTTTTGATATAAGAAAGTTTATTATTCCTTCATTTCTTAAATTAGACCAGCCATCGCACTGAAGGTGTAAGTAACTACAAGCATTTAGTTCCTCATTTAACTCAAAACGCATTTCTCTATATATTTTATCTAAGTATTTTGTCGCTAAAGCTTTACGTGAAGGTATTTTAAATTTTGGTTGCAATTTTTCGAAAAATTGTATCCATAAAGGATGTTGCACCATCGATAATGGCGTCCCTGTTACAAATATAGCTCTCGCTAATTCTGTTTTTATATGATCATCGGTGTCTTGAAACTCAGCATTTATTGTAGTGTTAGCAGACGACGAGGGGCTTATAAAAGAATCATTTGTCTCTATCTCTGACAGTCCAGACATTTTGGTTTTGGACGAGCTATCTTTTATAAGTTTCATAGAGTCTTTTAATGTTTCTGGAGATTTTGGACAAGTGATAAGATGTTGAAGCATTTTGGCAGCATTACTGAATTTGTAGACCTTATTACAAAGCTTGCAAGAAACAGACTTGTTTGGTAAAGTACGGTAGTGCTCCCATATGCGTAAATCTTTAGGTCTCCCCATTGAACCTAAAAAAATGAACGATGATTAGTTGGTCTGACGAAAATTCAACAATAGAGTGCCTATTTTTTTACAATGATTATTTCTTGTTATTTACAATAAATTTATTAAAAAAATAATAAAATAAATACAAAAAACCTTTGTAAAATTACATCTCCTCGGAGGATTAAACGCAGACGCTAGTTTATTATCGTATTGTTCTGTATTTTTCTCAGCAACTTCTTTAATTCGATTAGGTACTTACGCATATTATGTTAAAAATAAATATCTAGTACACATCTTAGGCTATCCACCATTATTATCCAATGACGACTCTCAGCTAACTATGCACTATCATCCAAAATAAACGTGTATGGAAAATTTTATCCCAGTCGGTTGAGTATTGAGGATAATTGCATCAACATACGAACATACCTACATACTTTTATTTACATAACGCAAGCTAAATAAAAGCTTGTAATAATACATCTAATTTTAAGTTAAAATTGTTAAGTGATCATGATATAATTGTATCATTCAAAAATCCACTTACCTTTAATTATTTCTTGTTAAGTATAAATATTATTTCAAATCTGCTCCCTTAATATGCACTTTTTTACTGCTTTTCCTACCTAACACGTTACCAGGAAGTCACGTTACCAGAGTCAGAGTAATAGTGAACACGTTTGACAGTGATTGTCGTCGCCTCATATTCAGCGTCGACGAATAGGGGAATCCCCAGTCATAATGTATTGCATGCGTGGCGGTCTTACTTCAAATCCATAAACAAAGAGATAATTACAGAACTCGATACTAGATGGCGCTGTTTTTGTTTGAAGAAAGTTTGCGGGCTAAAATACATAGAATTTCATCAATGACTTCCACAAAGAACAACATTTCTGTTTTTTCTAAGTCCGTATCTCTTCCGTATATTTCATAAGATATAAGCTTGGGCTACATTGTTATGCAACGTGATTTTGTCGCTGTCTTGCTAGCAGGGTTGACAGATATACGATTTAAATCGTACTCATACTATTATTTGTCTATTTTTTAATGTACGATCGTAAAGATTATGATCGTAATTCGCACAAAAACATACGACTTTTTGGTTACCTGGCAACATTTTTATTATGAAACGAACATGCTCACATCATCAGTCACATGCAACAATTTATTGGGGATTTCCCCTTCACATCTGGCAGTCCTGCTTGCTAGAATATAGGTAAGTCAGCCACAGTTACTGACGATCGATATTTAAAGGGTATTGTTTTTGTGCTAAATATTTCATAAAAACGTTATTTAATACTTTGTGGATTATTAATTTAGTTGATAATCACTGGAAGTAAAATGGATGCTAATTTGAGAGATCAAGATCTTCGTATAAAACAGTTAATAAAAGAAAATCTACGTAAGTACTCTTTTTATACCTAGGTAGGTAAGGTATAATAAACACAAAAGGTACTTAGATCGCGTGTGTTCGAAGCATTTATTCTAATAAATTTAATTTAAAATTGTAGAAAGAAAAAAATGTCTGCCAAGCCGTAGCCGAAGCCGATCTCCAAATATATTTGGCGATAGTGAGACCCAGTGTCCAGATGATTTACCCAGCGTCGTCGCAACAAAGAAAAAAACGAGGATAAAGTAAAAGAAAATTTACTGAAAGAAGAAACAAACTGTTCTAAATGCTTAATTTATGGAGAAGAGGATAAAAGAAATGAGTATTTCGGACTGTTAGTGGCTCAAGAATTTAAATATATACGGCCATGTGTGCGAACGAGGTGTTATGAAGAAATTTTAAAGTATCTACGGGAAGCAAAAGGCCAACATGTTGATCAACTGCAACATGAAAACACTGAAAATTAATTACTTTCATTTTATTATATATAGATTTTTAAAATTTCCTGAAATATTATTAGTTAACGTTTTATTTAATATTGTAGAATTGATCAATACAATTTATAAAAATAATTTATTGGTATTACTTACATATTTTCAAAAAAATACGTAAAAACCTATTTTTTTGGGTGATTATGGGAGTTTATGGGTGTTTATTGGGTTTTTACCAAAGCACCGGGTTTAAACCCGGTGCTTTGCCCATCTGTACAGCCATGCAAACACAACTGCTTCACGGCAGAAACACGAATGGGACAGAGGTCCAAGCAAACCATTTTTGTACAAAGTCTCCCTCTGGTTTTTATGTTATAAATCCGACTGTTTTTTAAAGAATTACTTTAGCGTGTTTAAATAAATAAGCTTTTCCAGTTTTTATTAGATAATCTTTCCGATATTATAAAATAGGTTTAGGTGATATATGAAACGGTTTTTTTTTTCAGTTTCTGGTAGGTCTGGTGGCGTGTGCGCACGCGCAGTACGCGGAGGAGCGCGCGCCGCGGTACATCGCGTCCGAGTCCAAGCCCACAGCCGCGCCTCCGGTCGCCATTCTTAAGCAGATCAACAGGTATATTAATTTACTGAATTTACTGGGTACATAGGAATAATACCTGAGTCCTCAGGAATGGCAACGCATGGGGGGTATCATGGGTGAAACAGTATACTCTGTTATGTCCATGGTACTGCTCATGTCTATAGGCGACGGTTAACACTTTCCATCAGGTGGGCCGTCAGCTTGTTTGCCATTCTAAGTTGTATAAAAAAAATATATAAATTTTTATACTACTTAAAATGATAAGCTGACGGCCTACCTGATGAAAAGTGGTAACCATCGCTTATAGACTAGGCATAGGTAATATGGATACAGGGGAGAAAGAGATTATTAATAATAGGTTCTAACTGCCCCATGGCTAGCAATATAGGGTACCTGATAGGGTATCAGGTCGACCTCCACACGGTTCTCTTCTGGAAACTATCGTTATTATTTTATCGTTGAATTCGTCACGATGGGCTAATTGACCTGCCTTTTCATCCTCACCTATCACTGGTACCTTATTAGCGCAGGCGGAGTTACCATTCCATTATCATCCATTAAAAAAAACTACCTTAGTCCCCAGGAATAACAACGCATGTTGTGTATCATAAACGACACAGTTTATGTTTAGTTTATTGTTTTTTTTTTCCTTTTTTATGTTCATAATACCGTGTCTATAGGCGACGGTTATCACTTTCCATCAGATGAGCAATCAGCTAGTTCGCCATTAAAATTTTTTTTTCATTCTAAGTTGTATAAACTTAGAATGGTAAACAAGCTGACGGCCCACCTGATGGAAAGTGGTAACCGTTGCCTATAGACATGAGTAATACCATCAACATAACAGAGTATACTGTTTCGCCCATGATGTGTTATTCCTCTGTACCCAGTAATTGCAAAAAAAGTCGCATATTTATTTCTTAAAAATTTTTTTTAACATCAATTTAATCTTTTTCTTTCTTTACATTCATTACAGACACAACGAGGATGGCTCATACACCTACGGATACGAAGCGGCAGACGGCTCCTTTAAAATTGAAACCAAATCCCCCTCCGGAGAGGTGAAAGGCAAATATGGGTACAAGGATGATACTGGCAAGGTGATTTATTATATTTTTTTTCTCAAACATGCTTGGAAATGTGAGCATTATTGTGACAATATTCTTAGAGATAAATCAAAATTGCCGTACTGGCCAGATACATGCGGGCAGCGGCCGGCAAAAGTTGTATGGAAATCCATCGTGTTTTGCGGCCAGATAAATTACTATATAAACTCATATCTGTCCTGTAATTTAAAAATAGAATGACCTTTTACTTCGAAACATGGCTACCAAGAAGGTAACTAATAAAAAGTTTTATTGAAATTTCAAACTGGCTTGCATATAGAAAGCCGTTTATTGAAAAAAAAAAACGAACATTATGGCGCGTGAAAAATTGTTATTGTTCGTTACTCGTCATTGAACTTAAAAAGTAAAATTGTGTTTTTGATGTCCGCGCATAGTTTGAGAAAAGTACTATACAAGCCTTGACCATAACTAGGCATTGATGGACTCACATATGTGTGCCTCGGCTACGCTTTGGCCCACATTTGCACGTTCGTCCATCAATGCCTCAGTTGCTGGCCGCTGCAGTAATGTACTAATAAACTCTTAATGTACCTAGTGTTTTCCGAAACTTTAGGATACCCTTTGTAAAAATCTGAAGTTGATAAAAATGAAAAAAAAAAAACGCCTTTTAAAATGAAATAGCACGTATACAAACAAGCAAAAGTGCAATTATTATTATTATTCAAATGGATGACAATGGTATGGTAACCCGTTAGATACGCTGGCGGAGCACCAGTGAAGGGTGATAGATGAGAATGAAAACAGGCCGGTTAGCCTATCATGATGATTTCATCAGGAATTAACCATGATAGTTTCCAGGGGGAACCGCGAGGAGGTCGACCTGGTTGGGTATATTGCTAGCAATGGGATTCTCAGTCTCCATTACTAACAATTCCTTTCCCCCCCAACCCATATAGGTTATATCCTAACTTAACAGGTAGGATACTTTGAAGACTGATTTACGTGTGCAGAACCGCGTGAAACAACTAGTAAGTAACAGTATTAATATAAAAGATACATGTTTTCTTTCACCAGGTGCGTGTTATCGAGTACGGGGCGAACAAGTACGGTTTCCAGCCAGCAGGTGAAGGTATCACCGTCGCGCCGCCCACGCTGGTGGATGAGTCCACCAGGCAAGAGGGACTGAGGGCCAGCAAGTCGCAGGTTAGTCCTAATTTCTTTTATAGCTTTTATATATATAATATATAATAAAAAAGCTGACGGCCCACCTGTTGGAAAGTGGTAACCGTCGCCTATAGACATGAGCAGTACCGTGAACATAACAGAGTATACTGTTTCGCCCATGATACCCCCATGCGTTGCCATTCCTGAGGACTGGGGGACTGGATCCCACCCTTCAAACCGAAACACAGCCATGCAAACACAACTGCTTCACGGTTGAAACACGAATGGGCTCTTCTCAGCAGATTACAACTTTCCGAACCCTGCAGCAAATAAAAAAAAAACGATTTAAAAGTGTTTGTAAACAAGTATATTTGCATAAAGATGACTTGAATTTCCTATGACCGTTTCCAGGGAGGTCGCGCACCAGTGCAGCAACAGTATGACTACGACTACGACGAGCCGGCAGCGCCTGCCCCGCGGCCGCAGCCCCGCGAGAGGCCTACATACCGAGCGCCACCACCCCCTCCCCCTGCCCCGCCGCAGCCGCGACCACAGCCCCGGCCGCAGTACAGGCCTGCACCACCACCGCAACCGCAGTACAGGCCCGCGCCGCAGTCTGCTCCCACACCACCTAAGGTATTACACATAAAGGGGAGAAGATTGTTAGTAATGAGGTCTAATGAGGGTGATAATGGTATGGTAACCCCACCCGCGCTACCGGTATACACCGGCGAGGCACCGGTGAGGGATGATAGGTAACGGTGAAAGCAGGTCAGTTAGCCCATCGTGACGAATTCCACTAGAATTAACCATGATAGTTTCCAGGGGGAACCGCGTGAAGGTCAACCTGGTAGGGTGTATTGCTAGCAATGGGTTCATTAGACCCTATTACTAACAATCCCTTTCCCCCCAATATACCCTTTTCAGGTCAACCTCCAAGCATTACCTGATACCAATTTCTCCTAGAAACCACCGTAGTTATTTTTTGTGGAATTCGCCATAATGGGTTAAGTGACCTGGTGTCATCTTCACCTATCATTTCTCATTGGTACCTCACCAGTGTATACAATAGCGCAGACAAGGTTGTCACTCTGTGAAGTCAAGGGTTTCTAAGCCGTCTTCATTATACATGGAGACCTTTGACGTCCTTGACCCAAGAAATAGGTTAATAATTGACAAAAATGGAATGGTAACCCAGCTCTACCTATCCTATTGGTTTACACTATCGGTATACGTTGGAAATAGAAATAATATTTATTTAAATAGATCGTCCTTTTCTTATGATATTTTTATGCTATATTCGAAATGTTATCTGCTGAGAAGAACTCGCAAGGAACTAGACAATTAGGCTCTTAATTCTAATTATGTATAAAATAATTTAAACTTAGACTAGGTCAGTTAATCTGTCGCTTCGATTTTACCAAAAAAAGTTTATTCATTAACTTAGCCTAGGTGTTAAAACTTGAGTTTTTTTTTTTATACATCTTAGAATGGCAAACAAGCTGACGGCCCACCTGATGGAAAGTGGTAACCGTCGCCTTTAGACATGAGCAGTACCATGGACATAACAGAGTATACTGTTTCGCCCATGATACCCCCCATCCGTTGCCATTCCTGAGGACTCAGATGTTATTCCTCTGTACCCAGTAAATTCACGCCATATCCCACCCTTCAAACCGAAACACAGCCATGCAAACATAACTGCTTCATGGTTGAAACACGAATGGGACAGAGGTACCCAAGCAATCGACTTTTGTACAAAGTCTCCCTCTGGTATGGTATAAATTCATGATAACAATACTAAATGCAAATAAAATATTGCAATGACCTTGAAAGTAGATAACAGCTTCTTACGTCAACTTATTCTCAAATTATAACGTTTTATAATAGGTAGTAAAAAGGATTTTTAATAAAAAGTACAAAATTTTGACATTAGCAATTTGTCTATACAACCTTAGGACTCAGAACGTTCGCTGTTTCAGTAAAGAATTAAAAAATATCTTCGATAACACGTCTTAGTTTCATGAAAATATCTATTTATTTGATTATTCCAGCCTACATTCTTCGCTGGCGCAGCGCCAGCACCAGTACCGGTCCAAGACAGCTTCTTCAGCCCTTCACCCCAGCCGGCCAGGCAGTACAAACCGCAACAGGACTTCAGACCAGCACCGCAATTCGCTCCCAAACCCCACATCGAGTACCAAGACTACGAGGAACCAGCCCAGCACAGATTTCCTTCTGCCAACCAGTTCGCTCAACAAAGAAGCTCGCAGCCGTTCTCAATGCTGGATCAGCTCCTGAAAGAATATTCCCTGCCTCAAGGAGGAGCAGCTCCCCTACACGATATCACCTTTGGATCCTACTAATTTAGGGAGAACATCTCATTTTTTTTTGTAAATATTTAGTGTATTTTTTTTATATTAGAAAAAAAAAAACCTAGATTTGTTTCATGATTCTTTCGATTTAAAATTTAATCAATCCGTATTAAAATTGTTCCTTCTCCTTGTATACATTTGACCTCAAACAAAATCTATTCGTGGGAAATTTGACGGATTATTGGCACAATTGGTAATGATGATGCCCATGAAAGATGGCGACAGCTTGGCCCTGCCACGTTACAATCAAATGTATTAGGCGAAATGCCAGCAAATATGTTATTTCTGAGTTACTACTTCTACTCGTAGGATGGTGCACTCTGATCTCCATACTGTTACGGGGTTCCTTATAAGTGAACATGGAATGGTAACCCCACACGCTTCACCCATACACCCCGGAGGGACACTAGTGAGAGATTATATAGATGAGTTTGGAAGCAGGTTTTTAGTCCATCGTAACGAATTCAACAAGAATTTACCACGATGGTTTTCAGGGGAAACCACGTAGAGATCGACCTAATATTATTAGTAATTAATATTGCTAGCAATTAGAGTGTTAGACGCTAACACTAACTATCTTTTTCCCCCCTGGATATAGGGTTAGGACCCATGATATTAGGCGTTGACTATCTACTGCTGAATATAGGCCTCCACATTGGGGAGATTTGTCAGTAGTTGCCATGTTTAACAAGCGGGTTGGTAACCGCGGTTTTTTTTGATGGGTGAAAATGGAATGGTAACCCCGCCTGCGCTAACGGGATACGCTGGCGGAGCACCAGTGAAGGGTGATAGATGAGAATGAAAACAGGCCAGTTAGCCCATCATGATGAATTCATCAGGAATTAACCATGATAGCTTTCAGGGGGAACCACGAGGAGGTCGACCTGGTTAAGTATATTGCTAGCAATGGGATTCTCAGTCTCCATTACTAACAATCCCTTTCTCCCCGGCAACCGCGGTTAGGCTTTGGTGATGTTTGAAGACGCTCCTACCTATCCCTCAATCATTAAGTTCCTTTAGTCACCTCTTATCCACATGAAAGGAATGGGTGGCCTATTCTATGCGGGGTCCACATGGCTATAGGTTTTTTTTTTAAATAGGTGATAATGGAATGATAACCCCACCCGCGCTATCGGTATACACCGGCGGGACACCAGTGATCGGTGAGGATGAAGTAGGTCAGTTAGCCCATCGTGGTGAATTCAACAAGAATTGTTCATGATGGTTTCCAGGGGGAACCACGTGGAGGTTAAGCTAATAGGGCATATTGCTAGCAATGCGGCTGTCAAACTACATTGCTTACAATCCCTTCCATTATCACGTATTAAAATAGTACTGGCTCTCTAGACAAGTCACAAGCGAATTTGTCAATGGAATAGACATCGTTAGCGAGTTCGTGAGATAGAATGTCGTAAGAGGCGACTAAAGGAAGTCAACGGTCGAGGGTTAGGCAGCAGCGTCTCTCTTGAAATATTTCCAAAGCCTAACTGCATTTGTCAACCGTACAAAGCGTGACAAGTACTGGCAAAACTCCCTTTTTTTATACAACTTAGAATGGCAAACAAGCTGACGGCCCACCTGATGGAAAGTGGTAACCGTCGCCTATAGACATGAGCAGTGCCATGGACATAACAGAGTATACTGTTTCGCCCATGATACCCCCCACGCGTTGCCATTCCTCAGGTGTTATTCCTCTGTACCCAGTAAATTCACGCCATTTCCCACCCTTCAAACCGAAACACAGCCATGCAAACACACATGCTTCACGGTTGAAACACGAATGGGACAGAGGTACCCAAGCAATCAACTTTTGTACAAAGTCTCCCTCTGGTGAGTATGGAACAGGCCTATATCCAGCAGTGGACAGTAAATGTCTGGTACAATACGAAGTACTGGGGGAGGAAAGGGATTGTTAGTAATGAGATTTAATAACCTCATTACTAGCAATACACCCTATCAGGCCGACATCCACGCTGTGTCCCCTGGAAACCATAGTAGTTAATTCTGATTCAATTAGTCACTGTGGGCCAACTGACCTGCCATCATTCTCACCTGTCACCCTTCACTGGTGCCCCATCAGCGTATACCGATATCGCAGGCGGGGTAACTACACCATCTTTACCCATAAAAAAAAACAACGAAGTACTTGTATATGCGTAGCTAAGTAGAAAAATAAGAGAACAATTGTAGAATTAACACCAACCTGTTTATCTTTATACACCACGTAATTTACATTACACAATGATCCATAATAACGCACTCTCATTGTGTTGCTGGGTTTTTTTTTTCAAAGCAGCCCCGAGGCCGTGGGACACCATTCTTTACACATGATGGGAATAAACTAGACAGACACATGTGTCGTTTCCCAGTGCGTTGCATAATTGAACGTTAATAGAGCAGTCAGTTAATACTCTTAATGTATAGGCGCGATTCGATCAGACGTGACCTTAATTCTCTTGTTATTTACATTCTGTTTATAAGCGTCTGGTGTTTGTTTTAGCTTTATGTACATCATTTATACTGGCAAGGTGGGGTAAATCAAATCGAATCATATTTATTCTTTTGCTATGTTACATGGCACAATAAGAAGTTACATATACAAGTAGGCACAAAACATGCAGCACCCAATAGAGGTATGCAAATGTTAAACTGTATTTAGCCTCTACATTATATTGCAATTCTAAAGTCCAAATGTTATTTAGAATAGGTTATTAAATCTGCTTTGTAAATGATATAATAAATCAAAATAGGCCACCCATTCCGTTTCTGTTGTTGTCGTAAGAATTTTGTGGTAGAGGGATGCACAATGTCTCTATAAAATCATTACTAAAAACCTAATTGCGGTGCCAAGCGTGGCAATTAGATGCTAGCAAAGCTCTTCTTATGGGGAAGGCCTTTGTTTTGCATTGGATAATTAATAACTAATATATATATATATATATATATATATATATATATATATATATATATATAATTGTATCGTCTTCTAGTGCCTATCTCAGCTGTCATGACCGTTTCGATTTAGTGAAATTACAGGAAATATTTATATAGACAAAATTTGAAGTTTTTTTTTAAAATCAACACCATTATATAAGTTGCGTAAATAAGAAAATATATATTATATTTTAATGTAATCACTACACGATTAATTTACATGTAATTTAATCGAGAAACCTCGATTAGTTTCGGGTTGCATATCCGCTTATGACTAAGGGTACCGGACGGTTGCTTTTTCTTTTTCGATTACACATATGTTAAAATACATATAAGTTAATCAGGTAGTTTTTACATTGAAATATATCGAATATATATTCAAATTCAGACCTCTATTATTCACTATGATCTTAAATATAAATAATTGTTACTTTATTCAATTGACTTAAGATCTAAATTTGTGTGATACTGTTTCACTTACTAATGTATCCAGTTCCTAAAAATGTGTTGACTGCTCTGTCAAAACAATAAACACTATTTTGTTTCTTTATTGTCCGGAAATAACGTGTTACATATTACGTGCCGTGTGCACTGTGCATGCTTGAGATGAGTTTTAAAGTGGATGAAGTAATTTAGAAGCATTTGACACTAGACTCCTTCTGTTTTTTTTTTTTTTTTGATGTATGAAAATGGTATGGTAACCCCGCCTGCGCTAACGGGATACGCTGGCGGAGCACCAGTGAAGGGTGATAGATGAGAATGAAAACAGACCAGTTAGCTCGTCATGATGAATTCATCAAGAATTAATCATGATAGTTTCCAGGGGGAACCGCGAGGAGGTCGCCCTGGTTGAGTATATTGCTAACAATAGGATTCTCAGTCTCCATTACTAACAATCCCTTCCCCCCAACAACGGCTGGTTTGACTCGTTTTTAGGATCGATGAAAGCATCGATGTAATGTAGGATTAATATGTATTAATTATTCTATATGTTTGTATGTTAATTCGTCTTAAAATATATTAATATTTTTATTAAATAAAAATATTTATTTCATGTACAAATTGTTTCCGCTAGTCCAATGCACCGCCATTTGCTCTCTCTGTTTAGAGCAACGGTTGAATGGTAGAGGACGCCATATTTCAGTGCGAGCAAATGTATAAATAAATAAATTGTAAGATTACATCTTTCATATTTTGCTACGGAACCGTTAGAACATTTGACCAGTTGCTACTAAAATTGTGTACGTTAATAGCGCTTCCATTTACTGCTCACCCTTATGCAAGAGCCACGTCCGTGAAGGTTGACCATTGTATGACATTTTTGGTAAGATCTTAACAATGCATAATGTATAGCCTACACTCACATTAAAAAAAAAACCATTAGTATGTCTGTTGAGTTCACATGTCTCTAAATAAAGTTATGAATTGTATATTAAATCCGGATTCAGCATCATTATTCTTTAAAAAAGTATATTGATTTTTCTTCAAAGTCGGTAAAGCGCATTTGACACCCCTAGTGTTGCAGGCGTCCATAGGCTACAGTGATCGATTACCATCAGACGGGCTGTATTTATTTTTTTATACAACTTAGAAGGGCAAACAGGCTGACGGCCCACCTGATGGAAAGTGGTAACCGTCGTCTATAGATATGAGCAGTACCATGGACATAACAGAGTATACTATTTCGCCCATGATACCCCCCATTCGTTGCCATTCCTGAGGACTCAGGTGTTATTCCTCTGTACGCTTTAAATTCACGCCATATCCAACCCTTTAAACCGAAACACAGCCATGCAAATACAACTGATTTACGGTCGAAACACGAATGGGACAGAGGTACCCAAGCAAACGACTTTTCTTCAAATTGTTTGCCTTCTTTTTGTTAAAAAATAAATTTCAAACGTTGTTCATCCAAGGAACGAGAAAGCTGAGATTCCATCTTGTAATAGATCAGCCTGCGTTTGTTTGTAAAGTGGCAATGTGGTATTAGATTGGCCATTGCTGTCAAGCTGAGTAGCTTGTCGATCTTACGAATTATATCGGTCACAACAGAGGAATAACACCTGAGTCCTCAGGAATGGTAACGCATGGGGGGTATCATGGGCGAAACAGTCTTTGTTATGTCCATGGTACTGCTCATGTCTATAGGCGACAATTAACACTTTCCATTAGTTGGGCCGTCAGCTTGTTTGCAAATCTAGTTGTATAGTTAATAAAAAAAAACTAGAAGGCATTAATGGGTAATGAATACGGATTTTTTTATAGTAAGATAAATGTATGAAGAATTTTAATTAAATCTGATTTTGTGGTTTCTCACTATGACTAATTAGACTCGTAAATCACGTCTACGAGTATTTCCTTGACAGTTTGCGGAAATATGTACATTTATGCATGTGTAGTGTATTAAGTTACGCTGAAACATTCTTATATATGTGTACATTTTCTTTATCAGATAGAATTCCAGTGAGTAAATTATTTTTTTAATTACACCTTACATGTGTTGTTTAATTACAGTGACCCAAACTTTAATTAAATTATATTTAATTAAATAGAAATAAATTAGTGTCAGTTACACAGATTTTATGTAACATAATTAAATTGAGATCTTGTGAAATTATTTGAATTAAGTATTGGCACAACATTTCAGACATTTTATTTCATTGTGTGTTAAAGATAAAATCCAAATTTGCTCACATTGTCTTGTGAGTAAATTTGTATTTTTTAATACATATAATTTTAATTACTATATTATTCTATATATTCTAGAGTGTAATAAAGAATATGTTATTATTATTTTAATAATAACTTGTTGTGTTTTTTTACGTCATTTGTATGAGGAATTTTTCTATTTTCTTACGAGATAAGTATTTTACTACTATAAAAATCTAGGACTACATTATCACTATAGTAAATTTCATCAAATTTTATCTAGTAATTTGGTCGGTTTGTGTATTCACAAATACGGAATTGTTATAGTTTTATATGTAGGGGTTTCAAGAAAAATTTAAATGTTTAAAAAGATATATAAATATTAGCATATATATATGTTAAAATACACGATTTTTAATATTTACACCTTTTCCAATGGGTAAATATTACTATATATATATATATATATATATATATATATATATATATATATATATATATATATATATATATATATATATATATATATATATATATATGCATTTAAGTTTTACTAATGTTTTTTATACAACTTAGAATGGCAAACAAGCTAACGACCCACCTGATGGAAAGTGGTAACCGTCGCCTATAGACATGAGCGGTACTATGGAATATATATAAGTAATAGATTTAATTTTATAAGTAAGAAAAATTTAATAAAATATTTAATCACGAATAGGACAAATTTTTGTAATCTTTTAAAATGCGTATATCTGTGTAACAGTTAAAACCCAGTAAGACTAGCAATAATAGTTATTGACTTTCTGTAAAAGGTCTCAAATTTGATTCTCGGTACAAATATTTGTGTAAATTTTATTAGACTGTTTAAAAGTTTGAATACAAAGTTATAGCAGATCTCTGTGGACGAGTACTGGTCAAATTATAAAGTAAATATATCCAGCGACATAATGGCGGCTGGTTTGACCCAATAACTGTCTGGTGTAATATTGGTCATTGTTACGACTAGTTCTGAGTGCAAGACTTAGTTTAACATATGTACCCGTAGTCTAATAATAAAATATCATTGCAACATTCTATTCTGAATGATATTTAGACATAAGAGTCGACATTTGATCGATATTCTACACAAAATGTTAGTTTAACGACCTAGATTCAAAATTGTGTTTCAAATTAATATGAAACTATTATATTTCTTTGACTGACGGTCAAACACACAAGGGAAACTGTGAGAGCTACAAACAAGAAACTTTGTATAAAAGAACCTCTTCAAGCTCAATAAATATTGCATATAAACGAACAATGGACAAGTTTATACGAAATTATATTTGGCAAAACCTGTCATTTATTGTACGTAATTTTATATACGAATCTGTAAGATCCATTAGGAGGTAGTCAGAGAGAAACAAGTGATCGTATACTTTTAATTATTCAAATATTGAACTGTAGTTAAATTTTACACCATTGTTAGATACGTGAGGAATATAATAAAACATCACTTTAGCTTAACGTAGGTTCATTAATAAAATTACAAAAAAAATATTTACACTACATTTGAGTATTGCATAGACCTAAAGGTATCACTCGAATTAATTACTCTAGCAAGTACAGGAAAAGTACCTCATTATCTCTGCATGGACCTCTTGTCGTCCGTAGAGCCGTCTTCTCCAAGGATCTGGACGTTCCTGACCTGCTTTCTCGGGGGTGCAGCGGTGGTCAGCTCGGTAGGTGGCGCTGGTGTTGGCATAAAGTCAGGACTGATCGCCAGCATCAACATCTTCAACAGTAAAGTTTCTCGAACGTCCGGTGGTAAGTACTCGGGAGATTCCTCGATATGATTCGATGATGCGCTCACTGTATCATACGGTCTATACATCCTACGTCGAGGAATATAACGCTGACTTTCATATTGGGAATTGTCGTAACTCGGCACTTGGTTTGAATACGCTTCTTGCTGCCTGTACTGCTGCTGATCGAATCTATAATCGTAGCGGTCATCACCCTGGTACCGCCGATTATCAAACCTGTAATACTGAGGTTGCTCTTGCCGGAATAGGTGTACCGGCTGATACGCCGGTCCAGGCGACACAATCTGGTCCATTAAAGCTTGCAGACGGTTCTGCCGTAATATCAGAATCTGGAGCAAGCGTTTCAAGTCCCTTGTACTGACTGGAGCAGATATTGAACTCATTTCGTCGATCGGTTCATATCGCGGTTGGATTATCGCTGGAGTTTGAGGTTGGGTTACATGGTATGGATTAACAAATCTCGCTTGATACCCCTGAATTGGAACACCTCTCTCATCCACTGGAATAGGGATAATTCTAGTCACAGGTCTGATTTCGTACGGTGCAGCGGTTGCAGGTTCGGATGTTGTTTTAGTTTGCGGCGGTGGTGATGTCTCCCTCACGTACTGTGGCTCCAGTACTTTGTTCGGATATTCATAGTGAAGAAAGGGCCGCTGATTTCCAATAGGCACAGCAGCTCCAGGGTTGTCTTTTAAGTACTCACGTGTCCGGAAGTGAACAGCTGCTTGCGGTCTTCTGTAAATAGGTTGTTGATGGTATAACCTATCGTCTTCACTTTCAGTTGGTATATGAATAACTGGCACTGGGTTAGTGGTCACAACGTTTTCCTGGTTGAAAACACGGCCTGTACTTGCTTCAACAGTAGTCTCTTGATCCTGACTTTGTGCTTCCTGGTATTGCTGATGAATCTTTTGCCTTGCAGCTACTAAAGAATGTATAGGCACAAGTCTCGGACGTGGTGTGGTGGTAGTGAACAACGGGCGCACAGTTCCAAGAGACAGATGACTTCCATATACATCAGTGGAGTCATCACCAACTGATTGTTGTAAGCTGACCATATGTGGATTAGGACTGGTTCCGGTCAGCTCTCGGCGGATAGTATTCGCTTTATTAACATCTTGTTCAGGGCCCTTTTCAGTTATATGTTCATAAACTGGTTTCACTGTCGTCGGTAGTTTAGTTGTTTGTTTCGTAATTAAATCATCACTCACTGTAGTTGGCATAGGTTTTAAAATTTGAGTTCGCGACTTAACACTGTCTTCTGACTTTGGTTTGTAAAGATTCAGGATATTACTTGTAGTTTCTTCTGGTTTTTGTTTTTCTGTTGTAGTTTCGGCGGTTGCTGCTCTCGTCGAACTCGCAATTAGCCTCCTTCTAGGTATAGGCTGGATGACAGTTCCCCTTGTTGTATAAATACTTCTAGTTGGATATACGATGGTCGCTAATGGCCTTCTAGTAGTCGAAGATATAGTTTTGTTCATCCTTACTATCATAGTTGGTGTGCTCGGTGTAGTGCTGCTAGTCGTCACCGGTACCGGTGTACTATCACTTGATGAAGAATATGTCACGCGCTTGATTTCACCATCCTGATCTATGTACCCGAAGGTCCCTTTCACGTTGCCCAAGACATCTCTACTTTCGATCTTGAACGTGCCATCATCAGCTTCGTAACCGATGGTGTACGAGCCGTCATCGTTCAATCGGCGTATCTGCTTAACGATCTCTACTTTAGATGGGTCACCAGTTTCGCTCGCTTTCAAGATTTCTTTGGTGGCATTAACAGCAGGTATTTCAGTGGTAGCATCTTTGGTTACGTCTGTTTGGGAAGCGGTCGCGATGGTGAGGCACACGAGTATGACGAGGCGGATCATCTCGCTAGGTCAGCCGCAGCGGCATGTCGGCGCTACGGCTGCGCCCGCGCAGCTCGCTCCCCTATATAAAATATCGCCCCACTCGCCAACCTCGCCGTGCGAATGCCTTGCGCAAACGCCACCATTGTTGTCATTTCATTATCTGAAACGGAAAATCTTTTTTCGTCGCACTCACCTGTGCCGTAAGATCCCAATTGTTTAATTGTCCGAGCCGTTTTGTAAAACTGCGAGCATGTGGACAGTTTTTTTTTTTTATTTTTATTTCAGTAACTTCGCCAGCGACGCATTCTCCGAGTCACTAAGGTCATATATTTGCTCAAACGCAACTGTATAAAAATTTAATTGCCCGATTGTTTCTATAATATTGTTAGTTAATTTATGCTGGGGCGTGTTGTTTGCGTACATATTCCCACGGTTGTATTCAATGTCGCGTTTAATTACTTGTAGTGCTTTTTGGGTCGGTTTTAAATTAATGTTGTACTCGTAAGGTGTCTGATGCCGCAACAAATTGAATCTCCTTGCGGTCGATGTGAAATATTAGTTAAATAATTTAGCCCTTATTTGCGTATTCCAAAATTATCATACATTTTCATAGCACTTTTATTGTCTCTCCCATTTGCGGTTGGTAATAGTGGAGAGTCATTATTGTCCGTGGGAATACACTAAGGTATAATATCCAAGTCCTCAGAAGTCCGTTGTTCTATGAACAAAGGTAGTATTGTACTATTTATTTAACTTTATAATGCATTTTTAATGATTATTAGTTAAATTTATTAGTGTAATTTAAATTTCTGATGAATGAATTACATCGTAATCTAATCATATAGACAGATACCCAGTATTTTCTCATAGAATATGTAATTATAAAATAATATGTAAGTATAAAAACTTAAGTCTTAATTTAAACTTTAAAAAGCTCGACTAATTTCGGAATTAACAGAGGGAGACTTTATACAAAAATCGATTGCTTGGATACCTCTGTCCCATTCGTGTTTCAACCGTGAAGCAGTTGTGTTTGCATGGCTGTGTTTCGGTTTGAAGGATGGTATATGGCATGAATTTACTGGGTACATAGGAATAACACCTGAGTCCTCAGGAATGACAATGGGGTGTATCATGGGCGAAACAGTATACTCTGTTATGTCCATGGTACTGCTCATGTGTATAGGCGACGGTTGCCACTTTTCATCAGGTGGGCCGTCAGCTTGTTTGCCATTCTTAGTTATATAAAAAAAATCTATTCGTGGTCTTTATTCATAAGTGGCTGTAAGGCGAACACGAGCTTAAAAAACTAAGCTAGTGAAGCTTTTTCGATCTAGTTACATATAAGTTTAACCGGTGGTTATTATGGTACATTAAAAACATATATTTTGTGCTTACAAAACTTTCAACAATAGAATATTTTTATTTGCCAGTATAACATTACATATTACTAATTGTAGGCTTTTTTCTTTGAGGGATGATAATGGAATGGTAACCCCGCCTGCGCTAACGGTATACGCTGGCGGGGCACCAGCGAGAGATGATACTTTAGAATGAATAGGCAGCTCAGTTAGCCCATCGTGATGAATACACTTGGAATTCAGCATGATGGTTTCCAGGGGGACCACGGAGAGATCGATCTATCAGGGTATATTGTTAGCATTGAGAGTGGTAATGCGCATTACTAACAATCCCTTCCCCCCACTAATTGTAAGCTACCGTCACAATTATTAAGTAACGCTCAGGCTGTGGAATGAGCTCCCTGCCGAGATTTTCCCTAGAGACTACAATATGGGTTTTTCAAAAAGGGTGTATTAAGGTTTCTTGAGGATCGGCAACGCGCACGTGACACACCTAATGTTGCAAGTGTCCAAAAGTTGCAATAACCATTTACCATCAGACGGGCCATATGCTTCTTTGGCATCTTAGTAGTATAAAAAAATGCCTATTTATATAGTGATTTAAAAAGTAAGATCTGAATTAATCAATGCCTATTTTTTAATAGGTGATAATGGAATGGTAACCTCGTCTACGCTGTCAGTATACGCTGACCGAGCATCAGTGAATGAGGATAGGTGGAGATAAAAGGCAGGTCAGTTGGCCTATGCCTATAATTTGACAAGAATTCATCACAATGGTATCCAGGAGGAACCGCATGAAAGTCGATCTAATAGATTATATTGCTAGCAATGGGGCAGTTATTGGTCTAACTGCCTGATAACGTCCTTTCTCCCCTAATCATACCTTTTAAAATCGCGGGATAGGCAGCAGCGTCCCTCTTAAAATATCTCTAAAGCCCTGAATGCGGTTGCCAATCCGCCTGCCAGGTGTGGCAACTACCGGCAAACCCCACTATGGGGGAGGCTTATTTATTTAAACCTTAATGCACAGTAAAATTCTATGTACATTTGGCGGAGTTAACACCGGACGGTGTTCTCTACCAGTCGACCATTGGGCGAACAGAGAAATAAGTAGGCGGTGCATTATAAAGCAATACTTGATATATTCATATAATATAAACATACAATTAGATTAATATAAATATACACGTACGTTTACTCCAGAGGGAGACTTTGTACAAAAGTCGATTGCTTGGGTACCTCTGTCCCATTCGTGTTTCAACCGTGAAGCAGTTGTGTTTGCATGACTGTGTTTCGGTTTGAAGGGTGGGATATGGCGTGAATTTACTGGGTACAGAGGAATAACACCTGAGTCCTCAGGAATGGCAACGCATGGGGGGTATCGTGGGTGAAACAGTATAGTCTGCTATGTCCATGGTACTGCTCATGTCTATAGGCGACGGTTACCACTTTCCATCAGGTGGGCCGTCAGCTTGTTTGTCATAAGTTGCATAAAAAAAAAAAAAAACGTATTATATTAAATAAATAGATATATACACACAATGAATACATAAAATATAACTATATATTCAGCAGTGGACAGTTAAAAGCAGTTTATAATAATAAAAAAATATATATACTGCACCCAGTAAATTCACGCCATATCCCATCCTTCAAACCGAAACACAGCCATGCAAACACAACTGTGTCACGGTAGAAACACGAATGAGACAGAGGTACCCAAGCAATCGACTTTTGTACAAAGTCTTTTAACTCTTTATTACGCCAAAAACATAAATATATAATACAATGACAATTAGAAAAATTCAAGTGAAATACAGTAGCATAGAGTACAGATTGAAATATATACACAAAGGTACAAAAGTAATCTCTTACAGACAACCTTTGGTTAAAGGAGAATACATATGTATGACTCCATAGATATGACTACATATATATATGACTTCATAGATATGACCTCATATGTATGACTTCATAGATATGACCTCATATGTATGACTCCATAGATATGACTCCATAGATATGACTATATTTATATATGACTACATATGTATGACTTCATAGATATGACTACATATATATGACTATATTTATATATGACTACATATGTATGACTTCATAGATATGACTACATAGATATGACCTCATATGTATGACTTCATAGATATGACTTCATAGATATGACCTCATATGTATGACTTCATAGATGACTCCATAGATATGACTATATTTATATATGACTACATATATATGACTTCATAGATATGACCTCATATATATGACCACATATATATGACTCCATGGATATGACTTCATAGATATGACTACATATATATGACTACATAGATATGACTCCATAGATATGACTACATAGATATGACTCCATGGATATGACTACATACATATGACTCCATATATATGACTACATATATATGACTTCATAGATATGACCTCATATATATGACTACATATATATGACTCCATAGATATGACTCCATAGATATGACTACATAGATATGACTACATGTATATGACTCCATATATATGACTACATATATATGACTTCATAGATATGACCTCATATATATGACTACATATATATGACTCCATAGATATGACCTCATATGTATGACTTCATAGATATGACTACATATATATGACTTCATAGATATGACCTCATATGTATGACTTCATAGATATGACTACATATATATGACTCCATATATATGACTACATATATATGACTCCATAGATATGACCTCATATGTATGACTTCATAGATATGACTACATATATATGACTTCATAGATATGACTACATATATATGACTACATATATATGACTTCATAGATATGACTACATGTATATGACTTCATATGTATGACTCCATAGATATGACTTCATAGATATGACCTCATATGTATGACTTCATAGATATTACTACATATAACTTCATAGATATGACCTCATATGTATGACTTCACAGATATGACTCCATATATATGACTTCAGAGATATGACCTCATATGTATGACTTCATAGATATGACTACATATATATGACTCCATGGATATGACTACATACATATGACTCCATAGATATGACTCCATAGATATGACTACATATATATGACTACATGGATATGACTACATATATATGACCACATATATATGACTTCATAGATATGACCTCATATGTATGACTTCATAGATATGACTACATATATATGACTCCATAGATATGACCTCATATGTATGACTTCATAGATATGACCTCATATGTATGACTAGAGTTGTTAAAAGGCTCGAGTTTCCCGAGTCTTCGACTCACTGAATCATCGACTCAGTGTTATCGCTAGTTTTTAGAACTACCCACATTACTATTAATATTATTGTAATAATTACTTGTATACGCCATTCATGTAGTGCAGTTTGCCTGGTTTCAATAAAAATACATTTTATCGTAGTTTTTACTGGTTAAAGTTTGTTAGATTTACAAAATGATTGAGGAAGATAATGTAACATCGGAAGACATTGAGTTTGACACTACTGATACTTCGCTTACAGAAAATGATGCTTCAGCATCTTCTATGGTGTCGAAAAAGCCGCGTATTTGTTGGAAACGGTGTCATTTTAAGAAACACAAATAGAAATACAAATTGTTGTGCAAGGTATGCCGTCATATATTTTCTATTAAAACATCGCACTCCATTTTGCAAAGGCATTAATCACGTCATGGCAATGTCGATTTTATACAGAGTGAACAAAACGAAAAGGCATCATCTGGTTCCTTATTAAAACATAAAAATCAACAAGTGAACATAAATGACCTTTAGATAAAGTTTATTCTATATGGCCAGCATTCTTTCCGAAGAAAGCCAGAATTCTTTCTTGGGAGAAGGTAGAAGCATTGAAGCAATAAAATTTTCTTACTTTCTATCCTTTTATTTCATTTTATACGTACTTACCACAATTAAATAAAAATATTTCATTTTAGTATCATCAGGTATATAAATAAAGCTCGAGCTTCGACTCGAACCCTTTATTTAAGACTTTTGAGCCTTCAAGACTCGAACCTTTAAGACTTGCGAGCCCTCAGAGCTCGAGCTTTGAAGACTCAGTAGCTTCGACTCGGAGCTCGAGTTTCCGCCTCGGAGCTCATTTTTCACAACACTAGA